CCCAATTTTTCATTATAATAGATAATAATGTAATAAACATTGCTGTAAAGAAATTTTTTAAACAAAAATCTGCATTGGATTCCTTTACTTCAGGGTTAGTAACTAGGAGAGGAATCATTGAAATGGTATGACTCAGCCCATGATCCTTAAGGTACATTTTCAAATTACCCTTTAGAAATAAGATACTAAGTAAACATCCATCAGCATCTTATTCCCCAACCAATACCAGTTACATCACTTAACATCACAGAGGGGATGCCATGTGATAAGTAAAGATAAATAGTATCTTGCTTTGTTTTGAAAATCTTTGCTTTCTAGTGAAGTTGACCATTTTCTTCTTGTAGGCTTATTGGCCATGTAAATTGTTCCTTTGGAGAACTTCTGTGTTTTTCCTTGGCTCAGCTTCCTTGTGGAACACCCCTGACCCTGGAGGTTGAGTCTGGGAAGGACTTTGCTCAAGTTCTCTGCCACATCCTTTGCAGATGTTGTGGCCACCAGAATTTTGGGCTGGGAGGGTTCTGAAGCACTTCACCAGGGCAGTGCTGTCTAGGGGGCCTACTTCTTTTTTTAAAAAATATTAATGTATTAATTTTATTTAGCTGGGCTCAGTTGCAGCACTTGGGATCTTTAATTGTGGTATGTGGGATCTAGTTCCCTGACCAAGGATTGAACCCGGGACCCCTGCATGGGGAGCAGGGAATCTTAGCCATTGGACTACCAGAAAAGTTCCCTAGGGTGCCTTTTCCTTGTCCCTCCCAGAAATGAGTTAAAGCCTTGGCCACAGAGGGGATTGCTGCTGGAAGATGAGGGATACGGCAGAGCCTTTATCTGAAGGGTTTCACTTAGATCTTGTTGTTGTTGTTGTTCAGTTGCTAAGTCACACCCAACACTTTGCGACTCCGTGGACTGCAGCACAAGGCTCCTCTGTCCTTCACTGTCTCCTGGAGTTTGCTCAAATTCATGCCCACTTAGTCAGTGATGCTATCTAGCCATCTTATCCTATGCTGCCCTCTTCTCCTTTTGACTTCAATCTTTCCCTGACTCTTTTCAGCATCAGAGTCTTTTCTACTCTGCTCACTTAGATACTGAACAGGAAAGAACCACACCAGGGAGGAGAAAAAGGGTGATTAGGAGGCAGTGGTGTCTTAGAATCTGAAGGAAAGGAGAGATTCCAGGAGGAAGGGCAAACTGATGAAATGGACAGCGATTGGGGTACTCAAGCTGGTCGGCAACTATAGTGGACATGTGAGTGGCAGCAAACTGGAGTAAATGGTGTGGATTCAGGAATAAAGACAAAAGAAAGCCTGTTCAGAAACTGTCCCAACATGTGTCATCAATCTTCCCCTGCCCTCACCACCCCTTCTCTCCAGATTCTGCTCCTAACACACAGTTGTGACCATGGTCTCTTCTGGACACTCTTCACTATTGCTGAGTCAAGTCCAGAGCTGGCTTTACACTCACCTTGCCAGCCTTCCCTCTGCCTCCTCTGGTTTCTCAACATCCAGCTTCAATCCAAACATGTACTCTGAGCTTCCACACATGCTGTTCCCTAGACTTGAAACCTTTTACTTGTTCTTCTCTTTGCAACCCCCTTCCTTATGCTGAAAGTAAAAGCTACCTTCAGATTGTGCTTGAATTCTGTCTTACCAGTTGGGTGAACTTGGAAGATATTTGACCCTTAGAACCTCAATTCAGTTGTGAAACAGGAATAGTCACGTCTTCCTCCCGAGATGACATTAAATAACTAACAAAAAGTATCGGACAGGCTTTTCAGCGTTCATTAGCTCCTTTATCCAAGACCTCCTCATGGAGCATCTGCTCTGGGTCAGGCTGAACATGGCAGAAGTGTTTCCTCTGTTATCAGAAAGGAGCAAAGGCAATTACATACACGGTCACTGAATTATAGTGTGATACGACTACTCAGGAATTTGATAGGCAGCCAATAAATGTCACCTCTCCCCCCACCTCTACTCATTCCTGTGATTCAGTTAGGGATCATAAATTGCCTTTATATGCTTTCTCATTCTTGACGTGTCACAACAAAAATAGTCTACTTTTATAACTTGAAAAGTCCAGTAAAACTTATAATACCTAAGTCCACAAAATCCTTTCTTTTTAAAGAAGGAAGGAAAAAGATAGCTTGGCTTTTACTTTCATTTTGAAGCCTTCTGAGAAAGGCAGAGGAACAGTTCCCTCCCTCCTCCTCCCCCTCCCCGCCACCAGTGACTTCTGTGCCCCTTAAATGGGCCTTGACTGCTCTAGAATTGCACTGTTCGGGGAAGGGCCAGGAGCATCCTTGAGGGGTGGGGGCCCATTTGTCCACCAGCCTGGGTTTACTCTGAGCCATGTTACAGTGTGTTTTGGGTTGACTAAAGCCCTCATTGTGTACTCTCTCTCTCTTTCTGACCCTTCCTATGCCTAAGACTCAAGGATGCCCCCACCTCCACCCTTGGCAGCCTCTCAGCTCAGCCCCTTCTCTTCCCCTTGGTAGGCAAGTTGTTCAATTGCTCAGTCGTGTCCAACTGTTTGTGACCCCATGGACTGAAGCACGCCAAGCTTCCCTGTCCTTCACCATCTCCCAGAGCTTGCTCAAACTCATGTCTATTGAGTCGGTGATGCCATCCAACTATCTCATCCTCTGTCATCCCCTTCTCCTCCTGCCTTCACTCTTTCCCAGCATCGGGATCTTTTCTAATGAGTCAGCTCTGTGCAAGAGAACTGGGCAAGACAAACTTATCTACTGACTTAAAAACAACCAAGTAATCTTGTTAAGTTTTTAACATTAATTTAGAATCCTACAAATCATAGGCATTATGGCACCTTTGACTTGACCTACCTTAATCAGCGGTTTGATATCACTTTTCCCCTGAAGTTCTGATGGAAGCTCCGCAAAGCCAATGATCCAGAACCATTGGTGTGAATGTCATGTCTTCACTAATGGTCCACTCCCATGGCTTCCAGTCCTGGTCCAGCTTCTGGTCTCTCCCTGAGACTGTCTGCCTCTTTAAGGACCCTCTGAAAATGGGAGCATCTGAGATGGTAGAGGGTGCTGCTGCCCTGATGGCTTCCACTGTCCCTTCTGCCAGGGGCCAAAGACCACCTTCCTGAGAGATGAGAAACATGCAGCCCCAGGGTATCTTTGCAGAGGAGTGGGGACTGATAGGAGGGACGAGAGGCCGCATTCCCTGACTTCTCTAAGAAGTTTCCTGCATACTATCCTGTGGAATTCCTGATAATCCCTAGATTTATGGTGTAACTGTCTCAAAGATCCTTTCCTTATTTGATTTTATTCATCTTATAGGCAGAGTGAAGAGGAGCCAGGGGTACAGTCCCACCTTACATAGGAAAATAGAGTTCCACAAGTGCAGCCACATATTCTAAGTGGCCCAGAGAACACAATAGAAGCCCTCCAGCCCCAGGGTGCAAGCCCAGCTCCCATTACTAGAGAGTTGCAACCCATTGAGTGGGCTGTGGGACCAGTAGTGGGAGGAAGAGCTTACCTGGGCAGTTGTGATGAACACAGGACAGCCAGGTAGAGGTGGCAGCATTCCACAAGAGTGGCTAGTCCCTGTGTAAGTGTATCTGGAGAGAGAGGACAGGCGATGAATTGTCCAGGCTAACGGTTGACTGCCTTAGCTCCCCTATTCCTTTGAGGTCAGCAGGAAGTATTGGGGTAGAGGAGGAACCTCAGATGTATAGGATGGGAAGAGAGACTTGTCTGACTAAGTACTGGCCAGAGGATGGAAGGGGATCATGTGGCCTGCAGATCACAAAATGTGAGGGGCAAAAGGAATGTGCAGGGGGCATTTGTGTGAGTACAACTATCCGCTAGAATTTATGCCAGATACCCAAGGAGATACACAGGTCCCAGGGTGCCCAGGGAGGAATATACAGGCAATATTGGGCAAAAATATACATGTATACTTGAAGTGGAGGCATTCTCAGTTCAGGTGTTTGTGAATGACACTATGGATTGAGAAAAATGATATTTAGGTATATGTGTATGTGTGTATATATATGTATGTGTGAGTATATATATATTTAGGCTTCTCTCGTGGCTCAGCAGTAAAGAATCTGCTGCAGTGCAGGAGTTGCAGGAGACACAGTTTCCATCCCTGGATCAGGAGGAGGACATGCCAACCCACTTGAGTATTCTTGCTGGGAAAATCCCTAGGACGGAGGAGCCTGGCAGGCCACAGTACATAGGGTCACATAGAGTTAAACACAGGTGAAGTTATTGAGCATGCGCACACACACACACACACACACACACACATATATATATACATGCAGATTTGTCAAAATCCACAGCCGCAGCCATAACTAACAATTCAAGTTATAAATCACAATCAACTCCCAGAACATTAGCAAGTGATATTAATGTCTTGCTCTATAAAAATTTCTATATTTAACAGAAGAGACCAAATTTCTAGATTACCATTGGTAAATTGTCCAAATCTACAGATGCCCTGACACTTCCTACACCCTTGGAAAGGAAAGCCATGCTTCAGTGTAACAGACTGACCAGCTATGTCCCAGGCAGCCTGGGACAGACTGCCACTAAATGCAATAACAAAATCCTAGACCATAGTAGTGTCATCTCTGAGTTTTCCCAACTCATGATGTTCTCTAGAAGCATTTTAACCAAAAATGTCCCCACAAGTCCTGGTGACACCTACATGTCTAGGATGATGGACCATCAGCCATATTGACTAGAAGGAAATTCTTTTTTCCTAAAACAATCTAAGAATTATCAAATCTTTCAGTTCATCTGCCTCCTTAAATACTGCTGATAATATAAAATCTTCAGTATATTCTGGTCCTGGTGAATCAAGCACCACTCAAGACTCTAGATAAACAGGGATGACATTCAATAAAGACACTCTCTACACACATTTCATAATTGTTCAAAATAATAGTTCTTTGAAACTGCATACATCAAAGATGAAAGAACTGCAACCCTTTCACGTCCTGACAAACTACAACTTCTTTTATTTCAGGGACGACAGCAACAGATCACACAAAAACTTCTGCTAACACCACAGTCTCTGAAAACTCCATCACCACTTCTGGTCCATTTGAATCTTCAATCTCTTCTGCAAGTTCTGTCACCACCATACCAGGGAGTACCACCACTACTTTTGATCTGTCTGAATCCTCATTCTCCTCTGTGGGATCGTACACCACAGTCCTTGGGACCTTTACCACTACACCTGGTCAGTCTGAATCCACAGTGTCTTCTGAGGGTGCCAAAGCAACAGTACAACTGACCTCCACCACAACATTTGATCAATCTGAAACCACAATCTCTTCTGAGGGTTCACTCACCACAGTCCTTGAGAGTTTACTCCCTACTTCTGATCAGTCTGAACCCATATTCTCTTCTGAGAGTTCCAACACCACAGTCCATGGGAGTTCCATCACCTCATCTGGTCAGTCTGAATCCATAGTCTCTTCTGAGGGTTCCCCCACCACAATCCCTGGGAGCTCCACCACCATATCAGTTCCATCAGAATCCATTGTGTCATCTGAGGGTTTCCAAACCACAGTCCTACTGAGCTCCATCACCCCATTTAATCAGTCTAAAGCCACAGTCTCTTTTGAGAGTTCCCACACCACATCTGGACAGTCTGAATACACAGTCTCTTCTGAGGTTCTCCTCACCACACTACTTGGTAGTTCCCCAACTACTTCTGGTTGGTCTGACTCCACAGTCTCTTCTGTGGGTATCCCCACCACATCTAATGAGTCAGAATCCACAGTCTCTTCTGAGGATTCACATACCACAGTTCCTGGGAGTATACTCACCACATCTGGTCAGTCTGAATCCACATTCTCTTCTGAGGGACCTTCCACCACAGTCCCTGGGAGCTCCATTACCTACTCAGGTCCATCTAAATCTACAGTGTCTTCTGAGAGTTCCCACACCACAGTTCCTGGGAGCTCTACCACCACATCAGGTCTGTCAGAATCCATAGTGTCTTCTGAGGGTTTCCACACCACCTCAGGTCAGTCTGAATTCACAGTCTCTTCTGATGCTTCCTCCACTACAGTCACTGGGAGTTTTATCTCCACATCTGGTCAGTCTGAATCCACAATCTCTTCTGAGGGTTACCCCACCACAGTCCCTGGGAGCTTCACCACCACATCAGGTCTGTCAGAATCCACAGTGACTTCTGAGGGTACCCAAACAATACTACTGAGCTCCACCACCACATTTGATCAATCTGAATCCACAGTCTCTTCTCAGAGTTCCCACACCACATCTGGTCAGTCTGAGTCCACAGTCTCTTCTGAGGGATCCACCACCACAGTCCCTGGGAGCTTTACCACCACATATGGTCACTATAAATCCACAATATCTTCTGGGAGTTACCACACCACATATGGTGAGTCTGAATCCACAATCACTTCTGAGGGTTCCCCCACCACAGTCCCTGGAAGCTCCACCACCACATCAGGTCTGACAGAATCCACAATGTCTTCTGAGGATTCCCAAGCTACAGTCCCACTGAGCTCCACCACCACATTTGATCAGTCTGTATCCACAGTCTCTTCCGAGAGTTCTCACACCACATCAAGTCAGTCTGAATCCACAGTCTCTTCTGACGCTTCCTCCACTACAGTCCCTGTGAGTTTTGTCTCCACATCAGGTCAGTCTGAATCCACAGTCTCTTCTGAGGCTTCTCCCACCACAGTCCCTGAAAGCTCTACCACCACATCAGTTCTGTCAGAATCTACAGTGTCTTCTGAGGACTCCCAAACAACAGTCCTACTGAGCTCCACTACCACATTTGATCAGTCTGTATCCACAGTCTCTTCCGAGAGTTCCCACACCACATCAAGTCAGTCTGAATCCACAGTCTCTTCTGACGCTTCCTCCACTACAGTCCCTGTGAGTTTTGTCTCCACATCAGGTCAGTCTGAATCCACAGTCTCTTCTGAGGCTTCTCCCACCTCAGTCCCTGAAAGCTCTACCACCACATCAATTCTGTCAGAATCTACAGTGTCTTCTGAGGACTCCCAAACAACAGTCCTACTGAGCTCCACCACCACATTTGATCAGTCTGTATCCACAGTCTCTTCCGAGAGTTCCCACACCACATCAAGTCAGTCTGAATCCACAGTCTCTTCTGACGCTTCCTCCACTACAGTCCCTGTGAGTTTTGTCTCCACATCAGGTCAGTCTGAATCCACAGTCTCTTCTGAGGCTTCTCCCACCACAGTCCCTGAAAGCTCTACCACCACATCAGTTCTGTCAGAATCTACAGTGTCTTCTGAGGACTCCCAAACCACAGTCCTACTGAGCTCCACCACCACATTTGATCAGTCTGGATCCACAATCTCTTCTGAGAGTTCTCACACCACATCTGGGCAGTCTGAATCCACAGTCTCTTCTGAGGCTTCTCCCACCACAGTCCCTGAAAGCTCTACCACCACATCAATTCTGTCAGAATCTACAGTGTCTTCTGAGGACTCCCAAACAACAGTCCTACTGAGCTCCACCACCACATTTGATCAGTCTGTATCCACAGTCTCTTCCGAGAGTTCCCACACCACATCAAGTCAGTCTGAATCCACAGTCTCTTCTGACGCTTCCTCCACTACAGTCCCTGTGAGTTTTGTCTCCACATCAGGTCAGTCTGAATCCACAGTCTCTTCTGAGGCTTCTCCCACCTCAGTCCCTGAAAGCTCTACCACCACATCAATTCTGTCAGAATCTACAGTGTCTTCTGAGGACTCCCAAACAACAGCCCTACTGAGCTCCACCACAGCATTTGATCAGTCTGGATCCACAGTCTCTTCTGAGAGTTCCCACACCACATCAGGTCAGCCTGAATCCGCAGTCTCTTCTGAGGCTTCCTCCACTACAGTCACTGGGAGTTTTATTTCCACATCTGGTCCGTCTGAATCCACAGTCTCCACTGAGGGATCCCCCACCGCAGGCCCTGGGAGCTCCACCACCACATCAGTTCTGTCAGAATCTACAGTGTCTTCTGAGGGTTCCCAAACCACAGTCCTACTGAGCTCAACCACCACATTTGATCAGTCTGAATCTACAGTCTCTTCTGAGGGATCCTCCACCACAGTCCCTGGGAGCTCCACCACCACATCAGTTCTGTCAGAATCCACAGTGTCTTCTAAGAGTTCCCACACCACATCTGGTCAGTCTGAATCTACAGACCCTTCAGAGGCTTCTCCCACCACAGACCCTGGGAGTTTTATCACCACATCTGGTCAGTTTGAACCCACAGCCTCTTCTGAAAATTCTCCCACCACGGTCCCTAGAAGCTACATCCCCACATCAGTTCTTTCAGGATCCACAGTGTCTTCTGAGAGTTCCCGCACCACATCAGGTCAGTCTGAATCCACAGTCTCTTCTGAGACTTCTCCCACCACACACCCGGGTAGTTCCACCACCACATCAGGTCTCTCAGAATCCACAATGTCTTCTGAGGATTCCCAAACTACAGTCCCACTGAGCTCCACCACAACATTTGATCAGTCTGAATCCACTGTCTCATCTGAGAGTTCCCACACCACATCTGGTCAATCTGCATACACAGTTTCTACTGAGGTTTCCCCCACCACAGTCCCTGGGCTCTCCACCACTGCATCTGTTCTGTCAGAATCCACAGTGTCTTCTGAGGGTTCCCAAACCACAGTCCTACTGAGCTCCACCACCACATTTGATCAGTCTGTATCTACAGTCTCTTCTGAGAGTTCCCACACCGCATCAGATCAGTCTGAATCCACAGTTTTTACCGAGGGATCCCCCACCTCAGGCCCTTGGAGCTCCACCACCACATCAGGTTTCACAGAACCCACAGTGTCTTCTGAGGATTCCCAAACAACAGTCCTACTGAGCTCCACCACAGCATTTGATCAGTCTGGATTCACAGTCTCTTCTGAGAGTTCCCACACCACATCAGGTCAGCCTGAATCCGCAGTCTCTTCTGAGGCTTCCTCCACTACAGTCACTGGGAGTTTTATCTCCACATCTGGTCCGTCTGAATCCACAGTCTCCACTGAGGGATCCCCCACCGCAGGCCCTGGGAACTCCACCACCATATCAGTTCTGTCAGAATCTACAGTGTCTTCTGAGGGTTCCCAAACCACAGTCCTACTGAGCTCAACCACCACATTTGATCAGTCTGAATCTACAGTCTCTTCTGAGGGATCCTCCACCACAGTCCCTGGGAGCTCCACCACCATATCAGTTCTGTCAGAATCCACAGTGTCTTCTGGCAGTTCCCACACCACATCAGGTCAGTTTGAACCCACAGTCTCTTCTGAGGCTTCTCCCACCACAGTCCTTGGAAGCTCCACCACCACATCAGTTCTGTCAGAATCCACAGTGTCTTCTGAGAGTTCCCACACCACATCTGGTCACTCTGAATCCACAGTCTCTTCTGCAGCTTCCTCCACTACAATCCCTGGGAGTTTTATCTCCACATCTGGTCAGTCTGAATCCACAGTCTCTTCTGAGGGTTCCCAAACAACAGTACTACTGAGCTCCACCACCACATTTGATCACTCTGAGCCCACATTCTCTTCTGAGAGTTCCCACACCACATCAGGTCAGTCTGAATCCACAGTCTCTTCAGAAGCTTCTCCCACCACAGTCCCTGGGAGTTTTTTCACCACATCTGGTCAGTCTGAACCCACAGTCTCTTTTGAGGCTTCTCCAACCACAGTCCCTGGAAGCTCCACCACCACATCAGTTCTGTCAGAATCTACAGTGTCTTCTGAAGGTCCCCAAACCACAGTCCTATTGAGCACCAGCATCACATTTGATCAGTCTGAATCCATAGTCTCTTCTGAGGGATCCTCCACCACAGTCCCTGGGAGCTCCACCACCACATCAGTTCTGTCAGAATCCACAGTGTCTTCTGGCAGTTCCAACACCACATCAGGTCAATCTGAACCCACAGTCTCTTCTGAGGCTTCTCCCACCACAGTCCTTGGAAGCTCCACCACCACATCAGTTCTGTCAGAATTCACAGTGTCTTCTGAGAGTTCCCACACCACATCTGGTCAGTATGAATCCACAGTCTCTTCTGTGGCTCCCTCCACTACAGTCTCTGGGAGTTTTTTCTCCACTTCTGGTCAGTCTGAATCCACAGTCTCTTCTGAAGGTTCCCAAACAATAGTACTACTGAGCACCACCACATTTGATAAGTCTGAACCCACATTCTCTTCTGAGAGTTCCCACACCACATCTGGTCAGTCTGGATCCACAGTCTCTTCTGAGGCTTCTCCCATCACAGTCCCTGGGAGTCTTATCACCACATCTGGGCAGTCTGAACCCACAGTCTCTTCTGAGACTTCTCCCACCACAGTCCCTGGAAGCTCCATCACCACATCAGCTCTCTCAGAATCCACAGTGTCTTCTGAGGATTCCCACACCACATCTGGTCATTCTGAATCCACAGTCTCTTCAGAAGCTTCTCCCACTACAGTTCCTGGGAGTTTTATCACCACATCTGGTCAGTCTGAACCCACAGTCTCTTTTGAGGCTTCTTCAACCACAGTTCCTGGAAGCTCCACCACCACATCAGTTCTGTCAGAATCTACAGTGTCTTCTGAGGGTTCCCAAACCACAGTCCTACTGAGCTCAGCCACCACATTTGATCAGTCTGGATCCACAATCTCTTCTGAAGCTTCTCCCACCACAGTCCTTGGAAGCTCCACCATCACATCAGTTCTGTCAGAATCCACAGTGTCTTCTGAGAGTTCCCATACCACATCTGGTCAATCTGAACCCACAGTCTCTTCTGAGACTTCTCCCACCACAGTCCCTAGAAGCTTCAACACCACATCAGGTCTCTCTGAATCCACAATGTCTTCTGAGGGTTCCCAAACCACAGTCCTACTGACCTACACCACCACATTTGATCAGTCTGAATCCCCAGTCTCTTCTGAGAGTTCCTACACCACATCTGGTCAGTCTGATTCCACAGTCTCTTCTGAGGGATCTCCCACCACAGTCGCTGGGAGCTTTATCACCACATCTGGTCAGTCTGAATCCACAGTTTCTTCTGAGAGTTCCCCCACCATAGTCCTTGGAAGCTCCAGTACCACATCAATTCTGTCAGAGTCCACAGTCTCTTCTGATAGTTCCCATACCACATCTCATCAGTCTGGATCCACAGTCTCTTCTGAGGTTTCTCCCACCACAGTCCCTGGGAGTTTTATCACCACATCTGGTCAGTCTGAACCCACAGTTTCTTCTGAGAGTTCCCCCACTACAGTCCCTGGAAGCTCCACCACCACATCAGTTCTGTCAGAATCCACAATGTCTTCTGAGGGTTCCCAAACCACAGTCCTACTGAGTTCCACCACCACATTTGATCAGTCTGGATCCACAGTCTCTTCTGAGAGTTCCCACACCACAGTCCCTGGGAGCTTTGTCACCACATCTGGGCAGTTTGAACCCACAGTCTCTTCTGAGGGTTCCCCCTCCACAGTCCCTGGAAGCTCCACTACTACTTCTGGTTGGTCTGAATCTACTGTCACTTCTAATGGCCCCCCCACCATATTCCCTGGGACCTCCACCACCACATTTGCTTGGTCTGATTATACAGTCTCTTCTGGAAGTTCCCATACCACATCTGATCAGTCTGCATCCACAGTCTCTTCTGAGAGCTTCCTCACCACAGTCCTTGGGAGTTTCCCCACCATATCCACTGTGTCTGAATCCACAGTGTCTTTTGAGGATTCCCATACCACAGTCCCTGTGAGTTTTCTCACCACATCTGGTCAGACTGAATCCACCATCTCTTCTGAGGGTTCCCACACCACAGTCCTTTGGAGTTCCACTACCACATCTGATCTCACTTTATCTACAGTCTCTTCTGACAATTTCCACACCACATCTGGCCAGTCTGAATTCACTGTCTCTTCAGAGGGCTCCCTCACAACAGGGTTTGGGAGTTCCCCCACTCCTTCTGTTCAGTCAGAATCCACAATCTCTTCTGAGAGTTTCCATTCAACAATCTCTGGGAGCTTAACCACCACATCTGGTCACTTTGAATCTACAGTTTCTTCTCAGGATTCCCACACCACAGATCCTGGGAGCGCCACCTTTACTTCTGCTCAGTCTGAATCTACAGTCTCTTCTGAGGGCTCCCTCATCACAATTCCTTTGAGCTCTGTCAGCACATCTGGTCAGTCTGAATATACAGTCTCTTCAGAGGGTTACCTCACCACATCTGGTCAGTCTGAATCCACAGTCTCTTCAGAGGGTTACCTCACCACATATGGTCAGTCAGAATCCACAGTCTCTTCAGAGGGTTCCCACACCACATCTCATCAGTCTGAATTCACAGTCTCTGTGGAGGGTTCTCGCACAACATCTGGTCAGTCTGAATCCACAATCTCTTCTGAAGGTTCCCACACTACAGTCCTTGGGAGCTCCACCACTACCTCTGGTCAGTCTGAGTCTACTGTATCTGCAGAGGGTTCCCTCTCCACAGTCTCCTGGAATTTTACCACTTCTGGTTGGTCTGAATCCATAGTCTCTTCAGAGAGTTCCCACCCCACGTCTGGTCATTCTGAATCTACAGTGTCTTCTGAAGGTTCCCTCACCACAGTCCTTGGGAGTTCCCCCACTCCTTCTGTTCAGTCAGAATCCACAGTCTCTTCTGAGGGTTCCCACACTACAGTTCCTGGGAACTTTATCACCACATCTCAGTCTGAATCCACAGTCTCTCTGGATGGTTCCCATACCACAGTTTCTGTGCCCTACCCAACCACTTCTAGTCTGTCTAAATCCACAGTCTCCTCTGAGGATTCCCACACCACATTCCCTGGGAGCTCCACCACTTTATCTGGTGGGTCTGACTTCACAGTGTCTTCTGAGGGTTCCCTCTCCACAGTCCTTTGGAGTTCTGCCACTACTTCTGGTGGGTCTGAATCCACAGTCTCTTCTGAGAGTTCCTTTACCACAGTCCCTGGGAGTACCATCACCACATCTGGTCAGTCTGAATCCACAGTCTCTTCTGAGGGCTTCTACACCACATCTGGCCAGTCTGAATCCTCAGTGTCTCCTTCAGGTTCCCCCACCATGGTACCTGGGAGCTCTACCACTACTGGTCTGTCTGAATCCACAGTGTCTTCTGATGGTTCCCATACCACAATTCCCATGTCCTCCCCAACCATTTCTGGTCTGCCTGAATTCACCATGTCTTCTGAGGGTTCCCTCACCACACGCCCTGGGAGTTTTGCCACTACTTCTGGGTGGTCTGCATCTAGTGTTTCTTCTGAGAGTTCCCACACTGGAGTTGCTGGGAGCTCTACAGCCCCATCTAGCACTGGAGAGACACTTTCCAGCTCGTCTGGTTCAGTACAGTCTACCACTTTTGTCACTCAGAAATCCACAGATCACAACACCATATCTGATTTTTCTCAAGTCACGGACTTACCTACATCGACAATTTCTCAAGAGGATGGAAGTCCTGTGTCCACTTCAAGTCCAGCTGAGTCTATTACCTCCTCCACTGGTGATGAAGAAAGGACCACATATTCTACTCCTGAAGTCACTGTGTCCACCATAGTCTCAGCACCATCAACACATACAGTCTCCTCTTACACCTCAACAATTTATATACCTTCCAACTCTGAGGGCCTTTCTACCACCACCTCCAGCACTGGACTCAGTACAACAACAACAATTACTGAGATGTCCTCTGTCCTTTCAACCATTTCTGAATCTTCTATGTCAACTTCCTATCCCAGCCATGGTGGTAGCCTAGCTTCCTCTTCAATTCCCAGCCTGCTGTCTACCACCCCCTCTGTCTCCACACAGACAATCACAGGCCTCACAGAGGAACTCACTCTTGCTACTTCCACCCCTGATTCATCAAAACCTACAGGCACCTTGAACAGCACTGTTACTGTAGGGAATGAAATTTCTGCTTCCACATCAAGGCCTGGAGAATCCTTAACCACTTCCATTGGAGATGGACACATGACCACATCTTCTTCTCTGGGATCCACTGTCTACACCAGCTCCTCAGATGGGTCCATGCCATCATTCTCTACCCATTCTTTGTACAGTACAAACAGTGCAAGTCCTTCCTCATCAAGCCCCAGTGAGATCTCCACCCACACTGTGGTCTCACAATATACCACCATGACTGCCAAAGAGGAGTCGACTTCTGGCTTTTCTTCTCCTGTGTCCTCCACTTCACCTGGCTCCACTGGTGCTCCAGTCCCTGGATTCAGTACCACTTCAACCCTGCGTCCCCCATTCACTAGGACACAGACAACTGTGAGGACAACCCACTCTTCAACTACGACACCATGTAAGTCTACTTGTATGTCACTCTACAGGCCCCTCCTGCTCATCTCCTTTACCAGCTAATCAGTTTTGTCCTTCCTATGGTCTTGTTCCACACTTCCAGTACCATCTTGTTGCCAGTATACATCATCCAAGTGGATGGTGTGTCTCTCTTTTGAGTTGTAGGACTCTTGATTTCTTTGAGTGTCCTCTTTCATCTCTTGCTTCCTTTCATTCTGTTGTTCCTTCTCTTTTCCCTGCTATCTCCTGGGGATTGAAATGGTGGCAGAGGGCTCTCAGTTGCAGCATGATTATCTAGTCCAATTTCCATCTTTCAGTGCAATGTCTGAATGATGGTACTTGGAACAAGAGTTGGTGTTTTGTGTCTTGGGCTTCCATGGTAACCTCTGGAATGTTCTACTTTTTTGCAGTGCAGTGCTACAATGGGGCCACTTGGAACGGAAAAAAATGTGTCTGTACCCAAGGCTACTCTGGTTACCAGTGTAAATACCCCACAGAATACTTTTACATAGGTAAAGACCTTTTTTGAGACTTGTAGATCATCTCCACATCCCTTAACCATTCAAAATAGGAGGGCAACATTGGAAGGCTCATTTGCTACCATTGCCTAATTGTGCAGGTAGAGGAGAAAATGTGACTTTCACCCAGGCCAAAATGCAGGTAGAGCATGGATTTTCTGCATGCCACTTCTGAGCCCTTTTCACTAGTTAAGCTGCCTCTCTCATCTGAATGATCACCTGGTGCCCTCCAGTCAGATCTCACTGCATCAAGATTCTGACCAGTAGCTCCTCCTGGTCTTCAGAGACAAGGGGCAGATGCTTCAGCTACCCCTACCTGCCTTTTGAGTTTCTGTCTGCCTCCCTACACACTTTCTCCTCTCCCACAAAGCCAACAAATGAAGAATTAGCCATTCCTGGAAGGCATTACTGTGAGGTTGTGTCTCATGCATAATATTCCCTGTTTCCATAGAAACACCCCAAAAAATCAACGCCACTGTAGACCTGAGTGTGAAAGTGACTAACAGGAATTTCACAGATGACCTAAATAACAAATCCTCCGATGCATACAAGAACTTCGTTCAAGTATTCAAGAGTCGGGTAAGAGGAGAGGAAGCTTAGATTCCCTGGTGTGAATCCTGGAAGAGGGGACATCCCTATGCACCCCCTTCCTTCTTTCCTATGGGCAGATGGCATCACTGACTCAATGGACATGGGTTCGGGTGGACTCCGGGGTTTGGTGATGGACAGGGAGGCCTGGCATGCTGTGGTTCACTGGGTCTCAAAGAGTCAGATGGACTGAGTGACTGAACTAAATACAGGAACTCCTTGGGGAAAGGAGGTTCTGAGGGACTGCTCCCAGCACAGAGAACAGAGGCTGCTGCACACTCCAGGCTTCTATGAACTTAGCTGTCTTGTTTCTTTCAGATGGATAAAGTTTACAGGGACAAAAACTTTCCCCAATACAGAGGAGTGAATGTCATAAGACTGCGGTGAGTATGGGGGTGAGAAGGTTTATAGACTGTGGGAAGCTCTTCTCTCTTGCCTGCTCTCCTGCCTCCTCCTATTATACATGGTTAGAGCATCAGTACCTGGCTGGGTCAAAAAGGCCCCCAGCTCAAAGGCAACACCTGAGGGCTCTGAGACCATGCATTTATTCATCAGCATTCATCCATTTATCAAGCTAATGTTGGACATATACCCTGTGCTAGGTGCTGGGAACATTGGGTTCTGCTCTTATTGAAGCTTAGAAGGGCAGACCACAGGTAGCTAGAGTTATAGTAGTTATGATAGCTCAGTTACTGAGGCTAGAGTTGTGATAAGGAACACACGAGGTACAGAGGGAGAGGTCCTGAATGCAGGATCAGTGAGACTGAGGGAAATCTTCCTGGAGGAAGTGACAGCTAAGCTGAGACTTGAAGGATGAGGAATGGGCCAACTAGAGGCAAGGGAGGGGAAGAGTGCTACAAGAGGAAATCCATGACATGCCTACAGGTAAGAGAAAGGAGCACAGATTCTAGGAACATAAAGCACACTTGGCTTCTAGAAGACAAAGGGGATGTGGTGGGAGAGGAGGTTGGAAAAGTGACACGTACTTATTTACCTGTGAGGCATCAGCAGTTGTGGCCCATGTGGCAGAGTAAACACTTTGTACTGCAGACCATACAATCTGGTTGCAGGGTTGAGAATGGATGGACAGAGGAGGGAGATGATAGTAGCTTGGGCCTGAGAGGTGTTAATGAAGAAGGAAAGTAGTCCAATGTGAAAGGTCTTTAAGAGGCAGCCCCAGCAGATCATTGGATTTTGATGGGTGTTTGGAGAAAAGGAAGAATGACACCAGATTTCTGGGCTGCTGGGAGTGTGGGTTGCCCTTGGCTGAGATGAGGAACATAAGAAGGAGCAGGAGGACGGTGGAAGAAGATAATGAGTTTGACATGGGCCTTGTTAAGCCTCAAGGGTCTGGGGCCCAGCCATGTGGAGTGATGGAGCAGCTGATGGTCAAATGTATGATAGTAAGGGTCTACAGCAGAGACATCAGCATTGACGTCCCTAGATAGGCTTCACTGGTAGCTCAGGGAGTAGACCAGATGGCTGGGACAATTGTCACAGCATGGAAGTGAAGCTGTCCCTGGGCAGAAGCACGGGAAACATCCATATTTAACAGATGGGCAGGAGAAGCAGAGCTCTCAGAGGAGGAAGGGAAGAAGGAGACAGAAGGGTGGGGAGGGAGCCTGGGGCATGTCAGTTACCAACATATCAAGAACCTGTGGGGTTCTATAACCCAGCATCCTTCACCCACACCCAGCCTCAGAGCCATGGTCTCTGTCTCCATTCTGACTCAGGATTTTGTTGGGTTAGGTCCTCTTGGGTCCTGCTTCTGACTTCTCCGTCACAAGGACTGTGGGTGGTGATGGACCTTGTCTCAGGAGCTCTCTACTCAGAGCATTGCTGACCGTCTAACAAGAAGCTTCTGGGTTGGAATTCAGCATTGCTAGTTGGAATCCAACATTTCTAAAGTGCCCTCATGTTTTTTCATATCTAAAATTTACTTATTTGGTTTTCAAAATACAACCCATTAGCTTCTGTCTTAAATTTTTAAATTTAGAATATTTTCATTGTGGTGAAATATCCATAACATAAAATCTGTCATTAGCCACTGAGTTCACCATGTTAAGTATATGGTTTAGCAGCATTAAGTAAATTCGCATTGTTGTACAACCACCACCACTGTCCATCTCTAAAGCTTTTTAATTCTTTTTTTGTGTGGCTGCACTGGGTCTTCAGTGCTGTGGGGGACTGCCTCTGTTTGCAGCAAGCAGGGTCTGCTCTCTCATTGTGACACATGGGCTTCTCATTGCAAGACTTCTCCTATTGCTGAGCAGGAACTGAAGCACAAGCGGACTTGAGTAGTCTCGGGCTTAGTTGACCACAGCTTGTGGAATCTTCCCAGGCCAGGGATTGAACCTGTGTCCCCGGCACTGGCAGGTGGATTCCTAACCACTGGACCACCAGGGAAGTCCTCCAGAACTTTTTCACCTTCCCAAACTGAAACTCTGTACCCATTAAACAGTAACTCCCAATTCCCCCTCATCTCCCCTTTGACAATCACCATGCTGCCTTCTGCCTCTATTTTGAATTTTATTACTTCAGGGATCTCATATTACTACTCATAAATACTCATCCAGTATTCATCCTTTTTTTGACTGGCCTATTTCACTTAGCATGATGTCTTTAAGGTTCATGCATGTTGCAGCATGTCTCAGAATTTCCTTCCTTTTAGAGACTGAATAATATTCCATTGTATGTAATATTCCATTGCATTTTGTTAATCCAGTCATCTGCTGATGGGCACTTAGATTGGTTGGTTCCACTGTTTATGAATAACATGGCTATGAACATGGGTGTACAAATTATTTCCTCCTGCCCCTGCTTTCAATTCTTTGAGGTGGATACCCAGAGGTAGAATTGCTGGATCACATGGTCATTCTATATTTCATTTTTTGAGGAACCATCATACTGTTTTCCACAGTAGCTGTACCAGTTTGCTTTCCCACCAATGATGCACAAGGGTTCCATTCCTCCATGTCTTTTCCCAACAGCCTCCACTTTTATGAATAAATTTCACCTGTTGACATATATTGTAATCACAGGCTTATATTGTAGCCTCCCTCTAGGTTGTTAACTGCTGGAGGGAAGAGTCTATATTCTGTCCTGCCCCTGGGTCACATGACTAACCGTTTCTCATCACCCTTCTTGCTTCTTGGGCCCCACTTGCTGGGAGGGCGGGCAACAGGGGTTGACTGATGACTCCCGTTTCCAGTCCTGGCAGCGTCGTGGTGGAACACGAACTCATCATGGAGGCCAACTACACTTCGGGGTACCTGGAGCTGTTCGAAAACCTCACTAAGATTGTAAGGGCCAAGATTATGAATGAGACCGGACAGCTACATGGGAATTCTCAAGACTGCGAAAGTATGCCCCCCGAAAACCCCTTGATGTTGGTGGGGAAAGGATGGGCGGGGCCCCTTAGGGAGGTCTCAGGCCCACCCCCACGTCCTGCACCTCTCGTCTCTTCTGGAACTCCAGAGATCTCCCTCAAGGAATCCAGAGGTCAAGCCCGGGTACCTTCCCCATATTTTGTGCTGCTCCTGGCAGCCCCTCTCAGTCCTGGGCTGAGGTGGTCAGCAGCCCCAGTGACCCCCTCAGAGCCAGCTCACAGCCTCAACTGCATCTACTAGTCTTGGCCACAGCAAGGAGGAAGGGGAGGCTGACTGCCCCCAGCGGGCAGGGGGAGGCACATCTATTTTGTTCTTTTTAACCACCCTGGGCAGACCTCTCACTCCTGTGCTATGATGAGACGGACACCATCGTGAACCCCGTGAAGGTCAACTTTGACCTGCAAGGTGAGCAGCTCCATGGAGAGTGGACGGTAAACCTGTGGGGTGGGGGGTGCCTAGGGACGGGGTTCATCTGGCTGACACTTCCTGCCCGCCCCCTACCTGCCCCCAGAGCAATGCACTAAAAATGCTGCAGAGAAATTCGCCCAGTTCTACTACGTGGATGAGGTGGATGGGAAGCTGGCCTGTGTGACCAAGTGCACCCCAGGGACGAAGTCGGAAATGGACTGTCACCACGGCACGTGCCAGCTGCAGCAAAGTGGCCCCCGTTGTCTGTAAGAGCTTGTTCCCTCTAAGGCCGGCATCTGCCCTCTCTAGGAGTAGGTCCCACTCTCCCCGAAGGTCATCCCAGGGTGCAGGCTCAGGGTGGGCAGAGCTCACACGGCACCTCCAGCCCATTCTCTACATCCTCTTTTCTCTACCCAGGTCTCCCACCTCCCGCTCCCATATACCACGGGAGATTACAGACACAGCCCTCAGAGAACCAAGCAGTTCCCTTTCTGAAAAAGTTCTGGTTATCAATTGCAAATCTGTATCTACGGACCTCTCTCTCCGTCTGTCATTCATGTCCCTAACAACATCCCAGCCACCATGCCACCATGCCATTATCACCTCCTTGCTGGCGCTCTACGTCTTAAACTAAAGTACAAAATATAAAACATGGTGACAGGCCATCCAAGTGCCAGCTGCTTAGCGATTACGTGGGTGAACATTACGTGCGTGGGATGAGGTGCCCAGTCCTCTCAGATTCCGCTCTGTGGATCTGCGGTCCCTGCACCCACTCACCACCCCTTAGACTTGGGGAGTCAGGGAGGGTGCCCAGCAACTGCCCTCAGTGGGTGAGATGGTTTCCTGTGCTTTGATATTGGTCTTTTTTTTTCAGGGGCCGGGGGCAGGGGAGGCAGAAATTGGGTGGGTGAGGGAAGCTGGTGGACTGGCCTGAGCTTGTGTGTGCCCCCAGATGCCTGAACTCAGACACACACTGGTACTCGGGGGAGACCTGTGAATCCAGCACCAGCAAGAGCATGGTATATGGGGTCGTGGGGGCCGTGGCAGCGCTCCTGGTGATCTTGGTGGTGGTCCTGATCTTCTTACTCGGCCGATCCCAGAGAAAACTGCAAAGGTGAGCTTCCGGGGCTGGGCCTAGGGGAGAGGGGACCGTAGTCAGAATATCCTGAGGCCCTGCTGAGGCCAGCAGGGGTGGCTGAGGCCCCGACCCCGAGTCCCTCCTAGTTCCTGCTGGTCCGTCCCAGCTCTGTGTCTAGCAGAGGGCAGCCTGCAGATCTGATAAGACGTATCCGCTTGGCAGAGAAATGGAAACAGAGACTTATGTACTGAAACTGGATTGTGTAATGAAATGACCTGGCGCCTCTTATCACCTTGGCTGCCCCAGAGCAGCGCTGTCTGACACACTAGGACGCTGGGAATGATCGCTCTCTTCCCGGCTGTAAGAGATTGAGTGATATTTTGTACAGAGCCCGGCCGGCAGGCCGAGGAAACTGCCCTGACTCTTGTCCGATGCCCCCAGCTCACAGATAAGGTCACTGAGGCCCTCTGAGGGGTGGGGGTGGGGGCAGGCGGTGGGGACATCCCCAGGAATGCTACTCAGTTTCTACCCCTGCCACAGGGGAAGGCCCCTCCCTCCCTCACTCAGGGCTTGGCCAGAGCAGACTCTTCCGGAGGCCAAGGGTGAGAGGTCTCTGAGCCCTTCTCCTACTTCATCATCAGCTGCTCATGTCATTTCTGTTAGCAGGCGAGAGTATGACATGGCTCGAGAGTGGCAAGATGCAGGCTACCCTGGCAGTTTTGAGAACACAAGCGTCTGGGAAGGTAGATCTTATCAGGGGCCAAGGCGGGGCAGGCTGGTGGGGGTTGGGGGGCGTGGAGAAGGGCCAGTCAGACTCCCATGGTTGTGGGTGACACGCACACACATCCTGCCAGCCAGTCCTGCGTCTGCCGCAACAGTCAGACAGCCTGCAGCCTCCTGACCCCGAGTCCCCACAGGCAGCCCCGCTGACCTTCCAGCCTTTACTTGGCTTCTCGCCATCGAGTTCCCTGCACTCCAGTCTGTGGCCCACCGCTTTGCAGAGCCTGTGCTGCTTCCGGTCGTCTGAATCTCTGCACATCCCCATCCCACTGTTCCCGAGATCCAGGTCACACGCGGTCCTTCCACGGAGCTTCCCGTGGGTTAGCCCACTCTGGCCACCAGAGCCACTCACAACGGCTGAGAGCCTGATCCTACCCCAGAGCCCAGCCCCAGCATGTCACACACTCAGTGGGATGAAGGGCCATGGCCAAGTGAGGCCTTGTCTTGGGACAGGAAGGGAGAGGGGCTTTCCAGGCAAGGGTCGCTGCTTAAGAAAGGGTGTGGAGGTGGGGAAGACATGGCCTGTAGGGAACCAACGGTGGGTTAGTGGGACGGGAGGATGACAGAGCCAGGTCAGGACTGGTCAGTGGACCGTGGTTGCGGGGGGAGGAGGACCCATTGGAGGAGCTTGAAGGGAGGGGGACCAGACATGCATTTTGGGTGGCTCATTCAGGAGGATTTGAGGGGGCTGCATGAAGTGGGGAGTTCAGAGAGGGAACAGCACAGTAATGCAGGCCAGGGATGATGAGCCTGAGAGGGGGGACAGTGGGGACCAGGAGGTGTGGACAGTAGTCAACTTGGTTCAGATGCCAGTAAGCTAGCTGGGCAGGGCCTGTTGTTTGCAGGCTCTGGGATGGGATGATGGAGACGGGGTGCAGTGAGAAGCCGCAGGTGGGGCATACTGGGGGGCAGTTAAGTGTGGAGGGAGAGATACCCCAGATCTGGCCAGTCTGAAGTCTGCAGAGAGGCCTGTGGCCTACGGGCAGCACTGGGGAGTCAGCTCAGCTCAGCCTACACTGGGGGCAGAGCGAGCCAGGAGTGCAGACGGTGGGGGAGGATCTTGAGGGAGGGAGCAAAGGAACATTCAGTAAGATGCCAGGCGGACCTGGAACCCGGTTCTGAAGGTTGAGGAGCGAGTTTATCTGCATGACGGAGACAGGGGGTGCTGGACTCATGCCAACTCACACAAGAAGATTTCAGGCACAGCTGCTTCTGTCTGTTGTTGCTACCGTTGCTATGAGGAAGTGTGCCCGTTGACCCCAGGCAGTCTCGCCCTCCTACCCCACCTAAACCAAGTGACTCCTTGGGAACCCACTCACCAGACCTTGACTTTTGACTGTGGAGCATGTCGGAAGGCAGCTCCCGTCCCCTCCTGTCCCTGCGTCACCCCGGGCCACCTCCCCAGCCCCTCTTCCGCATCCCTGATGAGCTGGGCTCGGGGGAGGACGGACAGGCAGTGGGAAAGGAGTTTAGGCAGCTCCGGGGCCGACTCCCCAAACCCATCCTTTTTACTGCGAACAATCCATCCTGGGTGTCTCTTTGGCTTCCCCCAGGCTCACTCTCACCCCAGTACCTCTCCTTAACAGGTCAGGATCTGAAGGGGGACACGTTTGGCCTTGAAAACATCTACAGAAACTTCCAGCCCTCCCTGAGGAGCGTGGACCCCACTACAGAGGTGACTCAGGAACCCCCAGCTCCCCGTTCCCCCACCCCCCAGCTAGGGGCTTCTCCCCTCCGTCCACTGCCTGGGGCTGCCTGGAGAGGGTGGGCTCCCCTCGGCCCAGAAGCAGCTCACGCCCCCAGACACGACCATCACTGGGGCCCCCGTCCGTCTCACCTCCTCTCTCCCACCCTCCCCAGCTCCACATTCAGAGGCCCACAGTGGTGACGACTGCTCAGTGATGGGGACAGGGACTGCCACCCCTCACTCAGATCTGGGTGGCGAGGCTGCGGCCAACAGAACCCTCCGCCGGCCCCAGGCTGCCTAGAGGAACCTGAAGTCTGGAGTCGTCCGGCCTGAGGATGGCCCTCTCAGAGCGAGCGGGCTGGCCCTGTCCTCACTGCTATGAACACTGCTCCCTTGCCCTCCAGCCAGGAGCCCCGAGGCATCTTGTTTACTCAAATTGTTTACTCCACCTGTGACAACCGTGCAGGAATTTCCTGCCAATAAAGGAACAAGTTTTATAAAGCTGAGCGTGGCCGAGCAGTCGCCTCCCCTCCCCTGCAGGGGGCCCTGCAAGTCTGGGCAGGTCCTTCTCGGAAGAGCACTGAAAGGGTTGAACGCCATATCTGGGCCCCTTCCCGTGCCCACATGTGGAGCCTGGGGCCCCTTGTCTGCTCCAAGCCCAGGCCTGATCAGGCCCACCTCTGCCCAAGGGTTCTGCGGCAGCTGAGCTTGGGGTCACATCCGGGAGCGCACCTCGGGCCAAGGGAAGGAGGAGCGGGAGTCCCCAGAAGGTGGAAGAGTGAGCCTGTTGCCCTGCTGACCTTGAGAGGGGCCAAGGTCACTCCAGATGACCCCAGGGGCTGTGCTTATCTGCGAACCTCCCAGACCTGAGAACTCTCAGCCCTCCTGGGGCTGGTCACTGGCCTGTACCCATGACCTGGTGGGGTACCCAGAGCAGAAGTAAAACCAGCTCGAGAAGAGGGGAGGGGGTTTCCACTCCGGGGACTGGAGTCAAAAGCAGGGCACCCTCTCCTCCACCTTCCACTTCCCTCCAGGGCCCCCCTAGTTCTTCCAGGCCACTTTAGGCCCTGTGCCCAACAGATCTGATGGCCTGTGTGCCTATGTGCTGTTTGATCAGGGAGGACCTCCCCTTCCCTCTGCCCTTTGACCTGAAACAGGGCCTCTCACACTCCCAGTCATCAGTGAAGCTTCCCATACTGCCTTAGGTGGGCCCCAGCTCTCCAGCATCTCCGGGATCAAAGGGCTTGGGGCCCGTTTATTTCTGGGGTTCCTTGACCAACGTTTGTTTCACCAATTCCCCGAAGGGTGAAGGGCAGGTGTGCTGTCCTCCAGGCTCTGAAATCGAGACTGGTGACAATGACGCTCCACCTGCTGCCTCTGTTCCTTCAGCTCCTGCCCCTCTCCAGGGTGACTGACCCCCACCCCACCCCATTGCTCTCACAGCCTCAGCCCTGCGGGGTCCTGGACCTGCCCATGCCCAGGGCGGGCTACGTCCTGGGGGCCCAGGCGGGGGTATTCTCAGCCTCCTGCCCTTCTCCTGCTCTTCTCTCCTCCCCAGTGAGGTCCAGAGCAAGAGCCAGGGCTTTAGGGCTCGTCTGAGTTGGCCTCGCGGAACTTCAGTTTCCATTCCAAAAAGGGAGAATAAGAAAGCTGACTTGTCAGGACTGGAGAAGCAGGCAGAACCCCCCAGACAAAACCCCAGGCATGTGACAGATGCTCAGCCAGTGGTGGGACCTGTCCTTACCCCGTGGGTGCTCCCCTTCTCTCCCCTCCACCCTGACCCAGATGCCCAGGTTCTCTCTTTCATTGTTGTTGTTGTTCCGTGTCCGACTCTTTGTGACCCCATAGACTGCAGCATGCCAGGCTTCCCTGTCCTTCACCATGTCCCGAAGTTTGCTCAAACTCATGCCCCTCAGGCCGGTGATGTTATCTAAACATCTCATTCTCTGTCACCCCCTTCTCCTTTTGCCTTCAATCTTTCCCAGCATCAGGGTCTTTTCCAAAGAGTCGGCTCTTCAAATGCCTCACACCTCTGCTCCCTCAAACTCTTGGCTTGACCATTTATGCATCACCCTATCCCCACCTGGTGCCCCAAGGATGTCACAGAGCTGTCAGACAACCCAGAGCCAGCCAAAAGGCTACTGCTGCAGCTAAATGGGCACAAGACAGGGTTTGGGAACAAACCCTAACCTTACCTAACCTAACCCTAACTCTAATCCTGCCTGGAAGCAGCTGTGTGCCATGGGGCAACTCAGGTTGTCTCTGGCCTCAGTTTCTCCCCCTGAAAAACAATGGTTGGGGCCTCTAGGATTCCTTCCAATTCAGCTTTTCTGGGCTCCTTGGCCGTGGAACTGGGCTCAACTCAGCAGATGATCACGGGTCCTAGTCGGATCCTCCAGGATCCCCTCTGCCCCTCGCCTGCTCCCAGAGAAAGAGGGAAGGGGACAAAGGTCAAAATCAAACTGTGGGCTGCAGGACTCCCACCCTCCTTGGGTCGTCATCCTGGGATTGCCTGGGTGGGGAGGAAAGGGAGCTCGGGGCAGACATGGGGGCTCACGCTGGGCCCTGTCAATGTCATCCAAGCAGCCACGTCCTGCACTTTGTCCTGTCCTCAGCTCACTGCCCCAGAAGCAGGGGTTGGGGTGGGGGCCTCACGTCCCTTGCCCCAGACTGTGGACAGCTCTCCTTCAAGGAGGCAATGGAGTGGGGAAGGGGAGAAAGCACCCCTGAGCGTAATCAGGGAGACTGTGGCCTCCCTGGTCCAAACCTGCCCGCAGGAGGCAAGGTGTTCTTGGGGGCCAACCTGAGAGCTGAGGGGGCCAATGAAGAGGATGGAGGTGGGAAGAGGGGGAGGGAGTCTGGGCAGAGCGGGACAGTGGCTTGGCTTGCTCTAAAGGGCAGATTCATCACTGATTTGAACTCTGCCATTCCTTGGCACAGATTTTCCCAGGATAACGTCACCAGAAGCTATCTTATCTGTAGTAAGAATGACACCGTCTCTCCCAGTCCTGACATTTTCAATGACTTCCAGACAATGTTGGGCTTGGGCCCCGTGATACGCCCTAGGGAAGATCTTTCCGGGTCCCTCTCATCCCTCTGCCCCCTGCCCTTTTCCTTTATCCCTGCTCCTCCATGCCCTCTTTCTGGCCCTCTCTTCCCTTCCCCCTCCCTTTCTTCTTTTCTTCCCACCTTCCCCCGTCACCCCTTACCTCTAACCACATTCTGGACTCTGGGACTCGTGGCCTCTCTGGCTTCAGTCTCCCTCTCTGTAAAATGGAGCCTTTCAGACTCTCTGCTCCTGGATTCTGTGGTCCTCTCTCTGTGCCCAGCGTCCACCGGTCTGGAGACCCCTGGCCAGCTTTGCGTGGCATCTGATTCGCCCATGTTTTTTCTCTGGGGACCCAGAGCCACCTATACTTCCTCAGGCTACAGGCTGAAGCAGGGCCTTAAGCAACATTGTAGCGGCCTCTCCCTGGCCTTGCTCTGTCCCAGCAGACACACCGGCTCCCACTGCCCTGCCTTGCAGCACACCCCAGTTATATTGGACATAAGACACAAGGTCCTTTCAGCCCAGGGCAGGCATATCCAGGCTTGCCAAGAGCCTTCTCCTTGCCCACACCCGGCACGAATGGGACCCAGGACTGGTTGCTAAGGCCTCTGCCTACAGCAGGCCCTTCTGTCTTTCCCACCCTCCCCCTCTCCTCTCCCTGCCCACCCCCCCATCCTGCCTGGGCCCTTTCATTTGCCCATGATCCCTGTTTCCACTGCTGTCCTACTCTCGTACTCCAGCTGAGAGAGTCTGGGGAAGTTAGACTCAAGCCTCTATCGCTCCCACACCCCCACCCCACCCGGAATAAGGCCCTCCTCCTCTGAGGAGCTCCCCTGGGGATCTCCACTAACTTATCTCCTCTCAAACCCACGCTGGCAGCAACAGGTGATCAGAAAGGGTGCTCACTTCCCGTGACTGCCTTAACCAATTACCACAATCCGGGTGGCCTAGAACAACAGGTATTTACTGTCTCACAGTCACAGAGGCCAGAAGGCCAAAGCCAAGCTGTCAGCAGGGCTCTGCTCTCTCTGAGGTCGGCGGGGAAGGGTTTGTTCCAGGTCTCTCCCCTGGCTTCCAGTCGTTGGCTGTGGATCTTGGCTTGTGGCCACATCACCCTTTACCTTCACGTGGGCTTCTGTGTCCGTGTTCAAACTGCCCCTTTTTACAAGGGCACCAGTCATTTGGGATTAGGATCCACCCTACTCCAGTGTGACCTCATCTGAGCTAATTTTATCTGCAATGACCTTATTTCCCAATATCACCGTCTGTGGTACTAGGGGTTAGGAATTCACTGCATGGATTTGGGGAGGGGGGACACCTTGCAACAAGTAACAGAGGCCCCAAGGGGTTTGCAGCACAGAGGTCACTTGACAAATGTGTTTTGAAGCCATCGCTCTGGCTCTGATGTAGAGGACTGTTCGGGGTGGAAGCCCAAACGGGAAGCAAGGAGGTGGGTGGATGGGGATGATGCCAAAAACTCAGCCTCTTTGCCCTGGGGCCGAATTGAAACTCACAGACTTTGGGGTAAATCAAAAAAGAACAGCTTTATTGCTTTGCCAGGCACACAGGGTGAGCTTCTGCCCTTTTAAACCATGTCCCAACCTGGGAGGGATTTGATGAGAAGCTTTATAGAAATGAAAGTGCTAGTTGCTCAGTCATGTCTGACTCTTTGCGACCCCATAGACTGTATCCCGTCAGGCTCCTCTGCCCATGGGATTCTCCAGGCAAGAATACTGGAGTGGGTTACCATTCCCTTCTGCAGGGGATCATCTCAACCCAATGATTGAACCTGGGTCCTCTGAGCCTGAGCCTGGCAGGCTACAGTCCATGAGGTCACAAAGAGTTGGACAAGACTGAGCAACTAATACTTAATAGTAATGATTCAGGGGTGGGGTTGCTGTTAAGGTTTAAGGTGTGTGCAGGTCTGTACTCCTTTCATGTGGTCTTTATTGATTGATTGATTGATTCAACTTAGGTTCTTAGTTTCATCCCTTGGAATCTATGTTGTGGTTTGTGGGCTCTCTAGTTGAGGTGTGCGGGTTCAGTAGTTGTGGCAATTTGGCTTAGTTGCCCACCCACCACCCTCCCAGCATGTGGGATCTTAGTTCCCCTACCAGGGATCGAAGAGGCAAAAAAAAAGATCAAACTATACAGCAGTCCTATCTT